CCACCTTGGAAGTTCCTACTTACGCCTTCAGAGGTCGTAAGTACAACTTGTCTTGTGTTCAAGTGGTTTTGGTTGGAAATAAGTGGAAATAATGTTTTTGGTTTACTTTTATTTTTCTGTTATTATAGAGAGTCTGTGTATATATCATATATCTGTATTTCCATGTGTGGATTTGGCCTGCAGTGTTAATGTTATGGCTGATGAATAACTGAAATACGGCCAGTTTATCAGCAGCTATAACTGGTTTTCTGTTGACACACCCCCCAACTCAGAAACTCGGGACTCATTGAAAAATCAGAGTAAATACTACATTGTGGTGCCGTTCATGTGCATCCATCTTGTAAATATGATATTTCTGACACAATTTGAAGGCAGCATTAGCATGATGCAAACTAGATTGCTGACGTTTACCATTGGCTTGTTTCAAAGATCAAGATTAATGCTAAATTTAGACACCTAGACAAATAAGAAATTTCAGTGATGAACCACCACTGACATAACAATTTAGTCCAGGTCTAGGCGTAAAAGGGAATTCCACGCTTTTTAAATTTCAATATAATTCAGTTGTTGTGTAAACAAAGTCATTCAGAGTGATTTGATGTAAAATTGTGCATAGTAGAGAAAGTTACCAGCCATTTGTTTACAGTGATAGTTATAGGAACCATATAATCACAAGAAAATAGTAATAATAAAATAGTAGTAATTAAAAGAAGTTTTCTTTGGGTACTATTTTTTTCTCACAGTACCCTGTATGGACATCTCCGCCATGAACGAATTTTAATAAATATGTTTTTGTCATCAAAAACATGGCAATATAGCCATTTTGCGTAAAAGTTTTCTGCACTGTAGCTTTTACTTTTACAGATATCAGACATTTGGTTCCTATCACTGGGGCTGTGAACCATTCTGACTTGTTGAGTTTCTCTACAATGGTGCATTTCACATTAAACCACTCTGAATAACTTCCTAACCACTTCATTGTACAGATGTTTTGGAAAATCAGTGGAATTTCCTTTTATGCTCTGGAAACTGGGTCTATATTTTCACTGGGTGGACTATATCATTACATACTATTTTCAATTCAGTCCTACATGAGAAGGACATTGCCTTACTGATGTTGGCTTCCAGGTAAAAACCTGGCTTGACCCTGCCATGTTAGCATTTGTGAGTGAAGTATTCCTTTAAAGGAGATGTTGTCTTGACTTGACAGCAGGTCGCATGGCTTTTCTGAACCTAATTTCTTAGTAACTATTTTTATCCAGTGAATTCAGCCGTAATAGGCAGTGTTCCTGCTGTTTGTCTCTAAGGTAGAGTTGAGATTTCTAGATGTTGCACATACAGTGTAAAAACAGGGATGAACTTGTGAGACTCACGATACAATATTGATTTTTTTTTACCTTTTATGGAAACTCTCATAAGCTTGCCACCCAGAATTGTTCTGAACTGGTTGATATGTGTATAGAGAGAGGCTCAGGGACAGGAAACACATTGCCACTGTAGAACCCTGACTATTGTATGAGTCATTCCCCCTGTAGTCTCTCTCTTTCTCACACATGCATCATATGCACACATACGACTGCTCATTACATGAGTGCATGAAATCTTAACTCAGATTTCAACCAAGAAATGAAACGGTATCTGTTAAAAACATATCGCTACTGATGTGACACCTAGACCCTTAGCACTTGTTAGCATTAATGATCCTTCCTGTAGAAGGGATGACACCGAGATAACACAGATGATGGATGTGTTCCTGTTTCGCAGGTTAGGAGGAGCTGATAAAGAAATTGAAAGACATCATTCAGATGAGTTAGAGTCTTTAGGGATGTGATACCAGCCAGAGAGCAAAGATTTCAAAAGACTGCACAAATAAGATGTGTGGGGGCAGGATTAAAGTCAGTCAGGAAATTAAACTGCCTTTATACATGACTTTTCATCCTCAGGGCAGTTTCTAGCGATACGCTATAAACACTCACTTAGGACCCCAAAGAAGGAGCCTAATCAGTATGTTGTTTATTTGCATTGGGTTTTGCATGTTTTGTTGGTTTTCTGAGTCAAAATAAGTTGGAAATAAATAGAACATTTTTGAACACTCCTTATGGAATTAGATTCATGCCATCAGATGTTTGAATTTAAATGCAAAAATCTGAATTTAAATGTTATTCTGAATCTGTGTCATACCGTCTGAAGTTGAATTCTGAACTAAAATTGAATTTTAAGGTTTATAAGAGAGCAAAATAAAAAATCTGTGACTGAATTTTATGGTTGATGATGTACAATTGAATGTTTGAGTTTCAGTTTCTAAAAAACATTCAGTTTTTCTTTTAATTCACATTTTTAAATTCAAAACAACATCTGGGTGTCTTGCAGGCAAAAGCAGTTGAGCACTGCATCTCGTCAGCGGCGTAATGTAAAAATGCTTGTTTTATAACAGAAGTGGCAGAACAGCCACTGAAAGCAATACATTTTAAAACCAGACTTGAGGGTAAAACGTAACATGAATGTATTTTGTCCAGTAGCAGGCCTGTGAACCCCAGCAATGCAGGTGTGCCTTATACACTCTATTTAGTGTAGCTGCTGCGCTGAGTGGAACATCACCCAGATCGTCTGGTCAGTGGTGGTCCCTTTCCACTGATGGATGCGGTAGAGAGAGAGAGGGGTTTGATAAACTGCAGCGACAGATGCACTACAGTCAGTATTTTCAAATGTACCTATGTTAGGTGTTTCTGATAAAATGTAGGCACAGCGAGGAGTAGGGAGAGTGGGGAAAATATGGGTTGTTCAATTGCTTTTGCCTGCAAGACACTGGGATGTTACTTTCACAGCCAATCTGAAAATGAATAAATAGAAAAATGAATGTTTGTTAGAAGCTGAATTTCAGTTTACATTTCACTTTGCTTTATTACAAACCTTAAAATTCAATTTCAGTTTAGAATTCAACCTCAGATGGTTATGATTTGATTCAAAATAAAAATAACATTCAAATTTAGATTTTTACATTCAAATTCAAATACATGCATTCTTTACAGACAACAGAAAACTTATTGTGCTATTTCTCTTCAAATTTTGATGCACAATTTGTAATTATTTGCTGAAGTTAGCATGGTGGAAAAAATAAAATATAATGTTAAAAGTGCCATAACTTCTGCACGGGCCACAATTTATGTTTTTTGTTTCTTTCCAGTATGTTAAATTTAGCAAATAAACAGTAAATGTGCATTAAATATGCAGAAGTGTGTTCTCTATAGAGGGTGTGTCAACTTATTTTCACTTAGAAAATCAACAAAACATGTCATTTGACCAGGGGTGCCCAAACTTTTACATATGACTGTATATGTATAATATACTGATATTGGCAGGAAAAAGTATTTTATGAAGACATCATTGCTGATTGTTTATAGTAGTTTAAACATACTTGTTTTATTCTGTTTAGTTAACTTTTTTCCTTTTTTCCTGTGAAATTTTCATTCTTTCTTATTTTGTATATTATGTATAATATGATTGGGAAATATAGTAATATTGAGAAATTTCTTTTTATAAGCATTAGTAGAGGCTCGTTGAGAGTCTAGAGCTTTGTGTCTGCAAAAGTAAACTACAATTAAATAAGATGAAATCAAGATTTCAGTTATAAAATTGATCTTATATGACCTGAGCCTGATAGGATCTGACAAAACATCTGGGCCCAGACCAAGTTCAGGCCAATTTTTTACATACAACATTGGCCCCGAGCCCGATGGGCCTGACAAAAGTTGGGTCAGGTATCAAAAGTATGGGTCAGGTTCAGGCTTCAGTTTTATGTCTATACAGACTTACAGTATTTTCTACCTCAGGGATATACAGTACAGAGCACAGGGCAATACAGACCGATAGCAGGCTGTGTACAAGATCCCTGACAAATCCAGTCAGTGTATTAGAAGTCACAAATGGCACGTTCTGAATGGCAGCTGATAGAAAGAGCCCGGAAAACAGTCCCTACACTCTAGTTCTTATATAACACCATGACACCACTTGGCCTGCAGCTGTAGTCAGTGTGTCTGACTGTGTCATTAACAGCTGAAGTGAGGGAATGAGAGAAAGCGATTCACTGGTAAGATCTCCAGCAAAACCTTGTGACTCTAATTCCCGCTTTCCTGCTGATGATGTGGTCCACGTAACGAGAGCAGCATGAACGATCAATGGGTGTTCAGAAATGCCTCAGTCACAAGACACTGAGGGAAAACACACAGTTTTCACAAAAGGTCAAAGTTTGCAACATCACTACTGTTTAGAGGACAACGTACATTTTTACTGGCTTATGGTGAGACGGGAAATAGTTGTGGAGTAAATTAACTATTGGAAAACAAACTGAAGAATAATAAAGAGAGGACAGAGACAGAAAACAGAGTGATAAGGAGCGCTAAAATGAACAACAGCACTATTACGTTACAGCAGGGTCTGTCAATAACTGTGGGAATGATGAACACATCCTAAGAGCAGAGAAGCATGAAATTGATATGGTTAGCAAACGTCACAGAGCTACAGATATGAAGAGAACGGGGAGTGAATATGAAGGAGTGGGGGAAGCTCAGCCTTGTGCAAGATAAGTCCTGGCATTGCCTGCATGCCAGACCCATGGCATCATGCGTAACATGCAGCGGTTGGCCCACTGCCATGGTACTCTAGCAATAACAGAATATTTCTTTCCACAGAATGCAATGGGCCAGAACCAAGGCAGCGTGAGGGAACAGGAGGGCGGTCCAGCAGGCCTGGAGGAAAACGGACCCAGCCCAGAGCCAGGGGGGGCCAAGGAGGAAGGAAACCCCAGCGAGGCAACCTGCGGAGAAGAGGAGGATCAATTGGAAACGGGCAGTGAAAGGCTGGACTTGGTCCCAGGCATGGAGCCAGCATTACCTACCCTGGAGCTGGACACACATTCTCACACAAAACGGAGCCCTCCCAGAGACCGGGTACAGACAGGGTGGGATGGAGAGGGAGAGAGAGGAAGGGAAAAAGGAGGAGGAGAGGGAGGCAGGGCTGGACTTTGGGTTTCACAGCAGCCACATGATATCAGAATCTTTGAGACAGGCACGTTGAGCACTGAGGTAGCCAGCTCTTCAGAACCTTTTCCAGAGTGCACAGCTGTGGCAGAAAGGGACAACAGAATGGACGCAGAGAGTTCAGTGAATGATGATCAGGAATGGATGCCTGTTCCACATCATCAGGAGAACATCCAGGGCCTTGGGAGGGACTCACTTGGCAAGGATGAGGATTTTCAGGAAGCACTGATTATTGAGGAGAAGAATGAGGTCACTCTAAGGGTGAAAATGACCATGGGAATTGACCAGGAACAAACAGACATCCTTAATAAACAAGAAGAAAACACCACAAAGGACTGCATTTTGCCTTCTTCAAACTTCAAGGCCTTCAGAGTGACGGAGGACATCTCTGATACTGATTTTACAGATGGAATGCAAGTGCAGAAGCCTGAGGCATCGTTCAGAGCCCCAGAAAAGAAGGACAACCTAGAACAACTGAAGGCCACATCACCAGGCCAAGATGGACCTGATGCTACAGTAGTGGCTCCTGACCTAGGCTTGTCTGATCCAGAGACAAGGTCTTCAGTTTCCACTAGTTTCAGAGAAAACCTGCCATCAATGTGGACGTCAACCAAATTTAAATCTCAAGAGAAGAGAAGGACTAATGAGATGATGTTACCAAGAAGTCCAGGAGTACAGCAGCAGATTTCAACATTAGAACATGAATACAACACTGAAGTGCCATCTGTTGCCCCAGCAGATAGACCAGAGCTTAAAACAACAGAGCCAGCTACAGAGATGTCTGAAATCCTAAACTCTCTAAAGGGTATCGCCACAGAGGAGAGAGAAACCAGGGAGAACTTTGGAGAAGATAAAGTGCTCCCTAACAGTCACAAACTTCTAACCGAGTCAAGGCTGGAAAAGCATCAGAAAGAGGAGAATCATCCAGCTATATCAGACTTGGACTATCTGAAGGAAAACAGAAAACTTGACACTTCATGCATTAGGTCACCAGCTGGAGGAGTCTGTGAGGAGCGGGAGCCATTTTCAAAGATCTTCGCTCGCTTTCGTGAAACGAAACCCCAGAATATACCCTCGTCTCCACAAATGGAAGAGGCATCTGTTGCAACCTCTGGGTCTGCCAATGATTTTGCACTATGCCAAAACAAACCTACATTGCAAAGCAAAGAAGACAAGAATGATATCATATCCTCTACAAGCGTAACAGACAGCAACCTGTCTCCTAAAAGTCCCGAGAGAAAAGATGAGGATTGCCCTCTAGCAGAAACAGCGAATGTCCAAACTGAGGAGATGCCTGAGAGGTTTGTGGCAGTGGTAAGTGCAAAGCCAGAGATGCTGTCACTCCCTGGCATTGCACATGGCGCTATGGGCGAATTGGATCCCCAGTTGGCCTTATATGCAGTAATGGAATCAAAAGGAACTCCAATCAGGGAGACAGAAATGAGGGATGGAGGTGAGGTTTCTGCCGAAGCATTTGAAGATGCTGGGGACTTGTCAGGCAAGATGCCATCATTACTCAAAGACAAGCCTTTTGGCAAGAACATGGCATTAGACGTGGACCATTTGACATCAGTAGACAGAGTCTTGGACAAGCTAATGTCAAAGAAAGATAGAGACAAACCCTTGGGTGTGATGACATCATCAGAGAGAGACAGAGTGAACCAGTACACTGAGAAAACTATTCTGCAGGAAACATCTGCATCCAGTTCTACCTCTGAGCCCATCCCTGACTCTGGGATCACCACAGGTCATGGAAAGGACAGGCCAGAAAAGAAGCTACTGCCTTCACATGTAGAATCAATGACTGTGGCTTTGGTTACTTCTCTACCTGTGGAAAGACAAATAATGAATGTGACAAATGAGAAGGAAGGCCCTCTAAAAGCATTGAAGGACAGCTGTGAGTCTTCTGAGGCAGCTGGGGTAATGCAGAAACCCAGGACAGCTCTTCTAGATGTGAAAAATTCCCCTCCAGTATGTAATGTACAGCACAAGACAGGACAGAACAAGCCTGCTCCAGAAGCAAGTGGACAGACTTTCACTTCTGACCCTGATATTACAAAGTCTAGCCAAACAGATCAAAACAAAGCAAAGAATGAACAGACTGCTCCAGCTACACAGAGTGGTGTCACAGTAAGGGAAAAGGCACAAAACGCTTCGAAAGGCAGGCCTGTATCTGACCTGATAAAAGAGACCATCCAGCTGCATGAGAAGATGAAGGAGTGGACCAAACCGGCAGAATCCAAAGCTGAGGTGGCTTTAGGCACTGCACAGTCAGTCAAAGTGGCACAGATGAAGGCAGCATTTGACCCGCCGAAAAAATCACCAGATAAAGCGCTTGAGAGGAAGTCATCGACAAGGAAAGGTAAGACATGGCATACAGGGCTGTGCTACGCTGCATTTCCATTAAACTGCAGGCTTTTTCAGCAAATTCAGTTATCTTAAAAGAGAATGTTTAAAACTGAGATGTAAACAAGGTTATTCAGAGTGGTTAGATGTAAAATGTTTTTCAAGCGAAACTTATCAACTCTGATTTCTTAACAGTGGTGGTGATAGAAACCTGGAGTCACAACATCTCTTAATGGTTTAATTATGTCGGCATTAAGTATATTATTCAGCAACCTCTATGAAACTAATATATACATTACTGGAGTGAGGAATTGAAGTGTGGGCCCTTGCAGTTTGAAAGGGCATTCTGGCCTGAAACTAGCATTTAATGTTATTTGTTATGTTATGTAATATTCTGTAATGCGGCACTGCATCCCTCAGGCTCATTACTTTTTGTACATCAATGTTCTCTCAGTACAGTACCCAGCATGAATTTTGCAAATATGTCATTCAATCATTGGGAATCCCTCAATGGCAGCAAATAAATTCTGACTACTAGCATAGCCACTAATGCAGAAGTTAATAAACACAGATGTGGTGTTCTGCTTACAGAAATGTTAGATGTCTGGCTTCCTGCTGCATTAACCAGCTAGAAAGAAAAAAAAACATTTCAAACAGCCCGCTCTCAAATATGTGCCCCATAGTGCTTGTAGTTTTTCAAAAGTTTCTTCTATCTTCAAGATACATCCTCAGAAGGTGGGTTTCCTGGTCTTTAAACTAGAAAATCTCTCTCTAGAGACCCCTGTGACCACTGTTGGAGGAGAGTAGACATGTTTACAGTAGATGTGGTAATAGTAACATTTTTAGTTTTGGCCAGAGTTCCCCTTTAAGGCCTTAAGGAGTTTATTTTTCAAAGTGTTAAAGGCGTTTTTGTCTTGATCTTGACATCAGAGTTGTTCTGTTTGTTATTATAAACTAGCCGCTTTAGTTGGCAGATTCAAAGAGAGGGAGGTATTATTGTGCTAAGTCTGTGGGATACAATTAAACATGTTAAGGCTTTGATGAGAGCTAAATCAAATCAGGGCCAGTATTTGTAATGCATCTGAAGGTAAGACTACTGATCTCGGATCGGTTATAGGCAACCAACTGTCCATAAATCTGAATTATTAGGACATGAGAAGCAGAACCTGATCCTAGTCCAACAGTCTCTGGTATGCAGTCCCTGAACCCTTTCACCTCGGAAACTGCATTATAGTGCCATCTTGTGGGGAAAGAGTCCAACGATCATGTACTTTTCCAAAAAGGAAGCCTAAATATAGACGCCATGAAACAGACGCAATACAAAGAAGAATGTTTAATTGTACTCTTTGTCTGGGTCTAAAATATTGTTTGGAATCCTCAAAAACTTATTTTTTGTTGAAGTTGTCTATATGTATTACCTCCCTGGGTATAACAGAGAAAACCTGAATCTCTAGACCTAAAACCTACGTGGCTATTATTACTAAAATTTGAAGTCTTTTGGCGAGATTGTCTTTATTTACCTGTTTACAATGTTAACGTGGGCGGGGCTCTTGGCAGCACGTCTTATGATTGGTCGGTTCTGCTGCCACTGAACGGTTGACTTTTCCAAATAGGGCTAAAAAAGGCGGAGAGGGGCGTGTCCACCGGCGCCGGTGCCAGAAGGGCTGGGAAGGCGAGTCCGCCTCACTGAGGGCAGCGAACATTCAAAACGCTCTGGGGCCGCTGGATAAAAAAAGAATCTAGCCATACCTCCATATCTTATATTACAAAATTACCCCCGGTCAAAGGATTTTTCCCGCTTTAGCTGAGAAGGTAAGACATGTTCAGATATTGCTCTTTTGCTTTTGGCTTCGTGTGAAGCCTTTCACATTCATAGAACTTCGCTCTGTTTTAAAGGCTGCTATGCGGAATAACGTTAACGTTAGCCAGCTAGCTCGTTGACGTTAGCTATAACTTGCTAACCGGAGGCGCTGCAAACTTAGCTGGCTACTTTCTCTCATATTTTAATGGGTTATAGAGTTTTTTCCAGATTAAAGCGTCTTCATAAGCGAACTGGTCTTCGACAAAACTCAGATTTGCAACCCGGTGGCTGCATTTAAACGACTGAACGGCACAGCAGCGTTCGGCGGGCTCTATGGAGTCATTTCTGAATTTCTGAGGCGTGATCCGCACAAAGTTGTCTGAGCTAACAGCCACAGCTGGGTCAATTGTGACTTTCAAGCAAAAATAAAGTGTACGATGGCATTTCGAGTATCATAGCCGTTCTGAACAGTTAGTTTTAACCGAAATGATTCCGTTTCATTTGCAGTGGTTCAAAACGTTTGGCTCCAAATTCGGCCGTATTTACCGAAATCCCGGACCAAATCTCCAGCGGACTGCGCAAATCGTTAGCTTTAGGTTAGCATTCATTCATAGGCCAGTGCTGAACAGCTGGATAAATGTTTTTTATATATCTTATGAACCCCAATAACTTACTAATTTTGATTATAGGCAGTAAGTTAGTTAAGAATAACGTTTTGTGAACGTTATTTTTAAATAGTAACGATAGTGCTTTTGCTTCTTATGCAACCGAACATGAAGAAACATGTACTAGTTTTTCCAGTTGGTGTAGTTAAGGGGCGGAGGAGCAGCTGCTATTCCCTTTTTTTTTGCTCTATCCGCATATTCGTGCTCTTGTAGTCTTATTTGAATGTTCGTTGACTGTAATATTCACCCTTAGATATGTCGGTGCAGTCAGCTGTAAGATCGCTGTGTCCCGGTGCTCTAAAAGAGTCTACGTTTTGAATATCAAAGCCTTGGGTAACATTCAGTTAAAACCCTTATAATGGAAAAATGGAAGCTTGTTTTTTTTAAATAAAAGAGTAAAATGTATTATGTAAACATGGTAAAGGTACAAGACATGCATTTCGCTCTCCAATATATGCAGTCATTATATGGAAACTGCTGTAAAAAAGCCATCTAAATCACAGAAAATCGCTTTTTCTCTGGAACTGATCGACTTGAGCAGACGTTGTAAAAATAGCCTTACATAATTGGCTGGAAAGCCAGAGGTTCCTCGTTTCGCTGCTGAGGCTCGTGTACTGCCTTCGATTGAAGAATAGGAGACTGATCACGAATGAATGGAGCGTTTAATGTAGGGTGATAATGGGGCACTCACTGCATGGTGGACTGTGGAGGGAAGTGAATGAGAAAGGGAGACAAATTGATAGGAGAAAGGGGGAAAGGGAGAAAGAGTGCGAGTGGGGGACAAGGCTTGCATCTGAATAGTTAAGTTACATTTCCTTTCCTGTCTGTTTTCCTTGATTTTTGCCTGATCTAGTAGCCATGTGGATCCTGATGCTAGTCAGCTCAGCCGGAAAATTTACAGATAGGAAAGGAAGTTTTTAATCAACTGGGTTAATTGGAGAGATGAAGATAATTTCTGCACCTCATTTTCCAGTATTATCATTGCACTTAAATACAAGGGTTTGCAAGGTAGTCCACACTCCAGCACAGGTTCATGTGTTCCTGACCCAACGTCTCTTTTTGATTTTGAGCTGACTAGAAAAGTCCATTGGTTTGTAACAGTAAAAACAAGGTATATTGACTGCATTATAGAGTTTGATTTTTGCAGTATCAACTGTGTTTGTGACCTGGTGTGTATGATCTCTGTTCTGATTTCAGCCTTGCTGGCTGCTGCACCCTGACTCCGGAGGTGTGTGTGCACGTCTTAATACGCTAGCTTAGGTCTTTCTTGTCAGTGTGGTTGCAAGTAAGGGGTCACAGTGTGTGGGTTAAGAGGTGAGGAGGTAATGAAACGTGTTGATATGAAACAGGTTGTTCATACCAAGCTGATGTCTCAATGTGTCAGAGTGGAATGGAATGGGCTTGAAATAAATGGCTTGCTATGTGCATTAGACCTGGGAGATATCTAAAAAGATAAAGTTTTGTCAGCATTATTGTCATGGGTGGGTTTCTTTTCTTTTAATTACACACACAAAAGTACTTGTTCATAGCTCCACCTTATGGAGAGACTTCAGGCTGCTAAACATGCATGAGTAAATAAGGAAACCGTGTCCATGTGCTATACATATTTAGAAAACAAGGCATTTTCCATTATTGTAGCAATTTGGAATTCAGCTATAGATGCTTGTAGGAAACTATGAATCATTTTGTTTTCATGATTTCACAACTGAAAAGTTAACATGCTGAAAATTTTCCTTAACTGTAACCATATGACTTAATACCTTGTAATAATCATAATAATCTGTTTTAACAGTAAAAGTGAGTATGACATATACATATACATATTATTTAGCAAAGTTCTCTTGGTTTGTCTTTCCCAACGTGGTGATCATTACCTTTGCCACATCATTAACTAACTTACTCAGTAAGCACTGATATCTGATTAAATCACCCAGTTGTCGAGGCCTAACCTGCGCTGCATCCCGTCTTGGTCCCAAAGCTTAGCTGAACTAATAATGAAAATCCCACATGAAACGTCATTATAAAATATAGAAATAGATTACAGAAAGCCTTTGTCTTGTCACATGTATTTATGTTCTAGAATCTGCATTGTAGGCTTTTGTTTCAGTTCATGAACCCCTACTGGTCCATGATTCTGTTAGTGATTAATACTAATAGCGGTCTGTGAGACATGGAGATGATTCTAGATTTGGTCTTGTTGAGGCTGAATGGCTGCACACATCAGTGTGGGTCATGAGCCTTTTTGTGTTGTGGGTGCACAGTGTCTCAGACTCGTGTGTCGTTGTGCTTGGCGGGAAATGGGTCTGAGTGCTGGTTAAATTAGGCAAAGGATGTAAAGCTGGAAAGGATGCAGTTTAGGAAGTGTGTGTGAGTGTGAGAGAGACTGAGACTGAATGAGTAAAATATTTTTCAAGATTGTTGCCATGTGAAATGAAATGCTTGGCATTTGACGTTGAGCTTAAATAAAGGACATTTATTACTACAGAATTTGGCATGCTGCCTTCACTTTTAGTTTCATTTTGAGTCTGTGTCTTTCCAACTTTGGCACCATGATGATGGACCAGATGACATTCACACTCTCATTCTTCTTACGTGGCAGTTGCTTTGGTCCTAACACCATCATCGTAAATGTTCCCGCATGTTCTCAATACTGCTCCATCCCAGTAATTCTAAAAATGTTTTGGTCTTTGTAACGTATGCATAAGAGAACAGTAAAGAGTAAAAGGGACAATGTCTGCCATTGATAAGAGAAGCTTAGGAGGATAATTCTGTTGTGGCTATCAGTAACAGAAAGCTGACATTATTGGTGTCACTTGCTTTGAGTATATGTTAGTGGAGTTACAGTTGTCTGATTTAAATAATACTTGCTTAAGTTACTCTTTCTGCAGATTCTGTGACTTTATGTATAAGCATTCTTTCCAGAATATATATATCTGATCTGCACCAATCTGTGTGAAATCAGCACAACTAAAACACACTACAGACTTCACTGAGTGGATAATCTGGCTGATCTGTCTGCTCTGCTAAAGTGCTAGGCTCACTCCATCTTACGCTACACCCTGTTCTGTCAACCTCGCTACTTCTTCCTCACGCGTGCCTGAAGCGAACCCTTCTGATTAAAAATTAATCCCATTTTACTGTCATTAGCATGGCGTGTGAGTGGTGGTGTGCTTAAACGGGGGCTGCTGATGTTCTGTCTCATGACATCCTCCCTTTGTTTGATTTGGCTCTGTATGAGGAGCAGTCAGTGGGCTAGTACAGTCAGGACTTACTATTTGGTGTATGACAGCATACACCAACAGATACACTGATAATACCAGTATCTGTACCAGTTTCATACTGGTACTTAAGTATTTGATTACAGTCCCCAATCAGTGTTGATTAATACTATTTCTACTGGGGTAACTTCCCCAGAAGTATAGAGTGAAATATTAAAAATAGTTGTATGGTATTAAACTTGAGTGTTTATATTTAGACCTTTGAGTATCATGATATTTTACCTGACAGTTAATTCCCAAAAAAATAAACGGAACTGGGGAGTTATATTCTAATGAGCACGTCTGATTGTTTATGCTCGCCAAGTGAGCTTTTGCTTGCTGGTTCAATGAGAGAGAGCATGCAGAACGCGTAGTGTTTAAGTTGTGTGAGTGGAACAAGCCACAACTTGCCTTGTGATTGGTGAAGTTTTATGCAAGTTTTCCTCAAGATTTAGACAAGTTTACACCGAAAGCGGAGAAATTCTTAAAAAAAATACGTTGGACATTTATTAGACATAGGAAAATGATTCATGGGACAAACATTTCAAGTTGTGTATGCACATAAGCAAGGTTACCCTAATAAAAGGAAAATAATTTTATTCAGCTTTATGAAATGGACTGACTTGAGCATAGACATTTATAAAAATGACAATAATAATAAAATAAAATAATAAATATAATAAAATCGACCTCCACATTTTGTGGAATTTTTTTTGTGTCCACAGCAGTAGTCGATGTTGCTGTTGGTACTGCGTGTGACCAGGTGCTTGGTTTTGCATCATTTGAGATTATTTGGTGCATATCCCAAGTTTTTAAATCCTTATTCCTTTTTCAGGCAAGGTTCACGTTCATGATGTGAGGCTCAGGAATGAGATCTCCAAAATTTACAAGTACAAAGATAAGTCAAACAGTAGGATATCTCTAGGAACTCTCTTTAGATAAGGTCGTCTTTTTGAGGAAAGTTAGCCCAGGTTACTTTATATGGAAATGGAGTGTAAAATCCTGGGTGCGTTTTACCTTAGCAAGTTAAGATCTTGGCAATTCAAATTACAAACAAAATGTGTGAATTTGGCTCTGCCATCCAGCTGCCTTCAGCCATATCCCAATGGGAATTTCACTGGGAGCAGCACCAGGAAACTGCATCTTATCTTGCTTCTCAGAAAGGCTGTGTTTTAGCTGGAATTCCATAGCGTTCTTTTACAAGGGATTTAGGTGACATCATCGTCTTCGTATTCCCAGTGATAAAAGACAGAGCTTTGGACTTTGGTGTATTTAGACTAATGCTGCAAGCAAGTGACATTAATTGACAAATTCACAAATCAACTAAAATTAGTTTTGTGCACTTTGGATAAACTGTTGCTTTTTCACATTTCAGACTGTGACTCTGGATTTTTGGATCGTTATATGCTGTATTCAGAAACATAACTTGGCTTTAGTAACAGTAAAGTATCTGCTTTAACAGTTTACTATATAACTATATAGTGATTGTGGACTATATAGTGATTGTGGATTCTGGAAGTGGGTTGGTCTGTATACTTATAACCTCAGAACTACAAAAATTAGTAATACACTGTCGTTAAGCTGATTACTCAAGGCCATGTAAAAATGACCGCAAGTAGAGCTGGCCAAAAATGTTATCACGATAAACAAAATTCATATTGTTCAATATTGATACATACCGTGATAAATGTCAAATCATTATTTCTTTCAAGTTTGAAGGCTGATTTTTGCTCCTGGGTGGTTAATTGCTGTTTTAAACTATCCTTTATGGTCGGAACACGACAAACACTCGCCAAACAGTGGAACATTTCACAGATCTGTCATGAAAGAGTGGGAGAAAGTGTCTGGTGAGCTGTTTTTACCAGCTGGAAAGGCATGGCTATTTTGTAATAGTCATAATCTAAGAAAGAAAACAGATTATTTTTAGCTGGTGACGAGCGCTCGGCTACCCCGTTACAAATGACATCACAGTATTCAGACACCAGCTAGCGACGACTGGATTTCTCTATACTAACAAAGTAGTTTAAGTGGTGAACTGCAAAATATCTAACACCAGACAGAGAGAGTCCTCTTTTTAGGTACGTTTAAACTGAAAGCAGTACTGACGGAGCGCTGCTTCAAGTTAGCCAGCTGCTAAAAACAGCTATCCTGGAAAGCTAGCGCTCTCCCGCTCTCCAGTGCCTCACAGCTTCCTCAGTTTACTTTTGTTTAAATCAGGGCTGTAATTTACATGAACCCACTTCTTTCTTTCACTTTCTTTCACTTTCGTTGCTTGGGAATGCACTAATACTTAAATATGACTGTCCGAGCGCTGTAACAGCTCTTTAGTTGTGAGGATTGTGATTGTGATTTAACGCTGCCAAAGCTGGTTAGGATGTACAGAAAGAGGTGAGTTCGCTGTAGGACAGTACAGTTACACCACTGACCTCGTCACTCACACTCGGTCACTGGAGAGCAGATCACTGGTCGCTCCACTCAAACAGGGAATGTATAACTCCGCGTTTCAGCTGTTGCTAAAGACTCATCTTACTCGTGGCCCCCTCCCTCTCTAATCATGTAGAAAAACTCGGAAGTGCGCCCTCTCCTTTATCGAACATGTCGTATTGCTCTATCGAGAAAAAGTTATATCACGATAATTATTGTTATCGTTTTATCGCCCAGCCGCAAGCTAATGCATTTTAGCTTAATGGTGTATGAGAAAAGAGTCACGCAAAAAACCTGACAATTCCTCAGGAGTGGTAACAGGAATAAAGAATATCTGTCAACAAAACATGATTTACTCAAAACCGATCCTCCTATTTTACCCACAGGCATATTTCTCTAAAGCAGAGCTGAATAAAAGCTTATATCGTTCCTTGCTAAATATGTGAGAACATTGTGAATATTATCTTTTTGACCTGTATGTGTTGAAGGAGTTAGTAACCATATGAGAGGAAACATGAAAAATCTAAACTTATGATATA